AAAATTTTAAATAAAAAATATTATTCTAGTAAATTAATTACAACATCATCAAATGAATCAAAATGTTTTACTGTATCATACTCGTCAATAATTTTTCCTACAATTGGTTGATAATGATCTTTATAGAAGTAAACAATAAATGAATCTTAAATGAGTATAATACCTTAATCAAAGCGGTAATGAACATTTCATTTCTAAATATAGAATGTTCTAATAATTTTAGCATAAACTCTTTTCTTTTTCTAAAAAAGTTATCAGATATCATTAAAATAAATTTCTGTTCTTGACTTCTCGTTAAATTTTTTCGAATCATTTTCGTTAACACGCCCTTAATACTTTCATATTTAATTTTAAATAACAATTCCACCATGTTAATATCAATGCTACTAGTATTTTTTATATGATTAATAAAGTATTTGTTAATTTCTTTACCTTCTTGATAATTAAAAATTAAACAATCAATGATACTTTTAATGATACTTTATATTTTCTTATAATTATCACCTCTATTGAGTAAGTTATAAAAATCAAACAATCTTTTACATTTTATGCCTCTAATTAATTTTAAAAGGTTATTTATACATTTAAAACTATCTTTCTTATAAAACCACTCTTCCATGTTTTCAATAACAACATCACTATACTTATCATCTTTTAATAAAACCCTTATATGATTTGTATCTATAATGATTGGAAGAAATTCATTAACATAAATATCATTATCTATGAGTTTGTAGATAATGTTATGTATTGATTGCTTAATATAATTGTTTCTTACTTGTATTTCGAATGTGGTAACTATTCTATTTAAAATATAATTGTCTTTAATTGTTCTAAATTCAATTAATATTCCTAATAGATTTTTACAAACCAACAACTTAATGTCATTATGTGTGTTTTCTGCAAATGATAGTAACATTTTAAATACTAATAATCTTTCATCGTTTCTAATTAAATGTAATGTTAATAAATTAACTATATCTTTTGAACTGCCTCTTTTTAATATCTCTTTATCTTATTACTTAAAGATTTATAAAAACTATTTTTATTTTCTATCACTTTAGATTATTTACTTTTATATAACCTTTTTAATTCTTTCTTCGTACTTATTTCTTCTTTCTCATTAAACTTTTAAAATTATTCTTGTTTCACTGCGGATTTCTTATATCTACTTTATAATTGATCATGTTATTCTTTTATTTTCAAATTGATAGTTTGGTGATTTACTTCTAATTTATTGGTTTTTATTATCTTAGATTCTTCATTTGGACTTATTTTATCTCTGTTTTTAGATTTTTTCAATTTTTAAAACTAATTAAATTTTCTTTCATTTTAGGGTTAAAATTTTTATAATAAAAGAAATTCCATTTTTTGTTTTTAAGTGTCAACTAGAGTTTAAATATATAAAAATAAGTTTAATAATAATTTTTTGTGGTAAATTAAATCCAATCATCCCAGCAATCTTATTTCATCAAATACAATTGATGTTAGTAAGATTAATAATGTATATAAAAATCTCAACAAAAATTATTAAATAATCAAATATTTAAAAGAAAGTGTCAAAGATAGATATATTAATAATCATATAAAAAATATATTATTCCTATAATATTTAAAAATTAAATCTAAAATTCGTTAGTGTGGTTATTTGGATTTGATTAAGATATATTTAAAAAATCAATCTAAAGAATACAAAAGAAATTATAAAATTATTTAGTATTTTGATAAATTGATTTATCTAAATTAAGAATTAAATCTTTTGTTTGTATTTATTGTAATATGTAATCAGTATTTTATAAAACTAAAATAATGAATAAAAGTGAAGTGAAAACTAACTGACTTAACTATAAATTTTATTGATACTTTTTTACTCTGATTATAAATACAGATAGTTAATGCTATAACAACAATTAATACAATCTAAGAAATAAATAAGGAGGAACAAGACCCAGAACTTAAATATATTTCTACAGATAAGTTGATTAAATTAGTTACATTATCCCCTAGAGTTTTCAATAGTATTTATTTTTAATTAGAATTTTTATTAAAAAAATTTCAAAAAATGTTTAAAATCATTGAAAAAATTATTTTAAAAATAAAATTTATTTGAATTGTTGATTACTATAATAAAGACCTCAAATCAAGAAAAACTTTCTTAAATTGTTATATTATTCACTTAAAACAATTTTTTAAATATTTATTAATTTATAAAATTTTAATGGTTTGACATAAACTTGATTTATGACTTTAATTTACCATTTTTGATTCAATATTATTTATAAAATTATTTTTACTCTTAAAATTATAACTAAAAACAAACTAAATATTTATGTTAGTTTTGTAATTAAAAGACTTTATAATTGTTGTATAACTACAACTATTTTTTTATATATTAGGATACTTATTTTAGTACTATCATATTTTTAATAATAAGTAAATTATTAATATCATCACGTCACTAATATTTCATATTAAGTAATATTATAGCACTTAAGAAAATTTATTAAATAAATCCATCTTATGTTTAACTATTTTAATCATTCACAGAATATGTCAATAATTTTTTAATTATTTTATTATTTATATTTAAATTTACTTTTTTATAAAAATAAATTTTATTTTTTAACCATGAATTTTTCGAAAATTTTCTTTGAAGTGAATGTAATCCTTGGTTGTACCTTAGTAAGTAATACATCACAGATAAATTTAGAAGAAGATGATGAAATTAAAGAAATGTTAAAGGAGTATGTAAAATCAAAGAATTTCTTGAAAAAGAATGTACCTTTGGTTATAAGATTGCTTGAATCTAATTACAGTTATGCATCTAAAGATGAAATTAATTCAATAGTAAGACAATTAAATATTAATTTTAAGAAAAAACAAATTAATAGTAAAGATCATTTAGATAAAGAAAGTTGTATTAAAGATTTTAATGAGTATATTCGTACTACATATGACAAAATGTTTTTAAATTTTGGTGAATTGATAGTTAAAAAAGTTAAAAGCAGTGGTAAAGTTAAAAATAATCCAAAGTGTTTATCATATATACCCAGGTTTTGTATTGATAATTTTATAAACTCGTTAAAGAAAAATCAATGTGATATTAAACTTAATAATGATGAATCTCTATTAGAAATTTATATGGATTTTTTGTCAATGTATAAATTTTATAAAGACGTAATTAGTTCCTATGAAAAGTTAAGATTTCTTATTGTTCTAATAATTAAAGTTAAACAAAGAATGTTAAACTCTCATGTTTTTAAAAATAAAAATATGTTTTATTCATTTAAATTTGATGGAATATACTCTCCTGAGATAAAAGAATATTTATGTGAGGAAGTTTTATCTTATATTTTAAGAATGAACATTGAAAAAAAATGAGTTTTGAAAATAATTAAAAATTTAAAAATTATTGCAAAGAATTTTCTAGAAAAGCTGTAGAAATAATCATTTTAATCGAAAAGTATAGTAATTCTTATAACAACAGTTTGACTAGTTTTACAATTGACTCTTGTATTTTAAAATATCTTGATAATAATAATTCGTTAAAAAAGGAAATTCAACAACTAAATATAAAATTATTAAGTCATCTTTATATAGAAAGTAAAAGATATAATAGAGATTTATGTACTCAAATAGATATCTTTTATAAGTTTTATATAAATAATTTTATTCCTTTCTCTTTTTATGAAGAAAGAGACAGTGTTTTAGAAAATTACGAAGAAGTAAAAAATGACCAAGGTATTGTCTGTTTTGATGTAATAGATATTTCATTTAAAATTATGAATGGTTATAGTAAAATTTTACTTATTTTATTCAATCCGTCATTAACAAGATATTTAATTAGTTAATATTAATAAATTTCCTTTTTAATAATTATTAATTATTAAAATTTTCTAAATTTAAATTTTTAAAATGTTTTTATTTTTTTTAGTGTTAAATAAAACCTCAATAAATTATGTGATGAATGACATCACATAATGAAAAAAAAGTTTTGAAAGGAATTTATATTGCAAATAAAATATAATGGTCAAAAAAGAATTTTAATTTAATAAAATAACAGATAAAAGTAGAAAGGGTATATTTTAATAAAAAATTAAAGTGAAAAATTTATAATTGAAAACGAATTTATAATAAATAATGTAATTTATAGTGGATTAATATAACCTTTTAAATATCAATTTCTGTTTTTAAAAATTTTAATTGGAAAGTTAAGATATCATAGAAAATCAATATGATCTATTTAAAAGATTTTTTATCAAAAAATTTATAAATTTTGTAGTTTAACCTCATTATTTTCTTGTATACAGACGACACAAATTATATAGTGATTTATTTGAAAAGGTATTTACATTTTAAAAAAATATAATTTTCTTACTTAATAACTTTCATTTTATTAACGAGTAAAAATAAACACTTTATGAAACTATGTTTGTATTTACTCTTAAGTATAAAAAGTTTTTAAATTATAAAAATAGAATTTATAGAACCTTTTAAAAATTATTTCCTTGTTCTTTTCTTTTCTCTTATTTTAATTTAAAGGTAAAAATATTTTTTAATAAATATAATGATGTTATTAAAAAAGTAAAATAATACTTTAAAAAATTGATATGTTTAAAATATTAATAAAATATGTTTTATAAGACTAAAAAATATTCATAAATGTGTTTAAATGACAAAAATACTATTTAAAAGAGGTTTGAATAGTTGAATTAAATATTTAATATGAAAGAATTTTACAAAGATTATTTTTGAATAACAAATAGTCGGTAATATGATTGTGTGTTTTATAAAATTTGAAAAACCTTTTTAGAGTTTCTTTAAACAAACTTTGCTTTATAAGTACCCATAAAAACAAAATTTTTGAAAATTTCAACAATTGTATTACATTTTTAACAAGGATTGTATGGAATAAACCTGTTTAAGGTTTCCTTTTTATATTAAAAAAAATGTTCAAATTAATTTTATTTTAAAAAATCAGTTATTAAAAAGTCTTTGTTAAAATAAAAAATTAATATTCGACTAAAAGTATAAATAGTTTAAAAAATTTTAAAATATTAAAATGTTTTTATACACACGTTTTATTTTATAAAAATATAAATAAAAAGCAATATCTTTATATATTATTAAATGTAAATGTTTAATAATGTAAATCTATTTTACATTGTTTAACATTTAAAATTTATTAGAATATTCCATTACAAACATGTTATAAAGTAAACTAGTAATTTAAGTTTTATTATAAAATTAGTTGAATTTAAAACCTAAAATAGTTATTATAACAAAAATTAATAAGTTAATTTAAAATCATACAATAACTTCTAAA